TCCCTCGTTGTGTATGTTATATTTTGAGACTGATCATAAAAACAAAATGGATTAAAAGAAGAACTAAACAGATCTTTCTCATATTGCAATGATCGATTCTATTTCTTTCACATTAAGTACTGTACTAGTAAATATGTGAAATGACAAACTCACTTTGAAGGTTGGCTTTCATACACATCAGTATTAAGTTTAGATCAAAAGTTACCTCAAGGTGCATTTACTGTTAACATGACTCGATCAAACAGATTAGAGGAAAGAAGAGAAAAGATCGAACTGACAAAGAACTAATGAAGATGGTACAAAGGTGGGTGCCAAGATCCCTCTGGGATCTCTTGTAAATGCTCTTTTTGTATTTTTCCCTTAGCTACATAGGGAACTATAAACTTCCTTTATTCACCAATTGAGTCCATGGTTCCAAGGATCACAGATGCTTCATAGCAAATTAGATTGAGATCCAGGGAATTAATTTACAGGTGTGAGGCCAATACTGGTGTCATGAATATATTCTGTCCTCATATCTAGCAATATGAGCAATATGAGCCAATTGTGAGGTTATGTTGTGCTGTCAACTCATTACTTTAAAAGCCAACTCCTGAATTGCTCTCCAAATTTGATTATAATCTTATCAACTGTCCAGGAGGAGTATGCTAACAAAATGAGCAAAATATATCCAAACAAAGATAAATGGCAAAGTGTTCATGTATGTGATTATAAGTACCGTGGTATGCATTAAATGTTTTCAACAGTTAAACTGTTCAAAAGGAAGTAACTCATTTCTGCTTCAATTTCTAATATAGATTGAACAGGCACCATATAACATGCCATGGCATAAGTTAGCTAAAATTGCTGAAAGTCCCCATATTATAATCAACAGAAATTTGTTAAGATTTAATAAAATAATATCCTATTAAATATACCTGTCCAAACTGGCCACTGTGTAATCTGTATCTAATGGCATGGTATTTTTGTCCTGTTGTTTCTATTTTCAAATTTTACCTAATATGTCAACTCTGGTAATCTGGACTGTCTACCCAGGAAGCTGGTGTTATTTAACTTGTGATGTATTCATCATCTTTATTTTGGCCTTTATTTTTTACTTAACTATTTTTCTGGTTGTTTTGATTGTTGACTTTCCTATGTAAATTAATATTGCAAAAACTAAAATATTAAAACTGTATGTTTTCTTCGTTTTATTTTGCTTAATCAGAACTACATTTCAAAGTCTTTTATGTGAATACTTTCCTTCTTCAAAATATTCACTCAGTATCACTGTCTCCATATTGACTAAATCCTTTTGTAATAGATTCCATATAGACAGGACCCTGTATTATAGACTGGACTCTGTATAATATACACAATATAGACTTGACCCTGTACAATAGATCCCATATAGACTCGATCCTGTATAATAGACACCATAAAGACTGGATCCTGTATAAACTGGACCCTGTAAAATAGATACCATATAGACTGGACTCTGTATAATATACAAAATATAGACTTGACCCCATACAATAGATACCATATAAACAGGACCCTGTATAAAAGACACCATATAGACTGGATCCTGTAGATTAAGACACAATATCAACTAGAACCTGTTTAATAGACACCATATAGACTGTATTCTGTATAATAGATTCCATATAGACTGGATCCTTTATAATAGACACCATAAAGACTGGATCCTGTATAAACTGGACCCTGTAAAATAGATACCATATAGAATGAACTCTGTATAATATACACAATATAGACTTGACCCTGCACAATAGATCCCATATAAACAGGACCCTGTATAAAAGACACCATATAGACTGGATCCTGTATAATAAGACACAATATCAACTAGAACCTGTTTAATAGACACCATATAGACTGTATTCTGTATAATAGATTCCATATAGACTGGATCCTTTATAATAGACACCATAAAGACTGGACCCTTTATAATAGACACCATATAGACTGGACTCTGTGTAATAGACACCATATAGTATAGACTGAATCCTGTGTAATAGATTCCATATGGACTTGACTCTGTTTAATAGATTCCATATGGACTTGAACCTGTTTAATAGATTCCATATCGACTGGACCCTGTATAATGGACACTAGTATAATAGACACCATATAGACTGGATCCTGTATAAAAGACACCATATAGACTGGATCCTGTATAATAGACCCCATAAAGACTGGATCCTGTATAAACAGGACCCTGTAAAATAGATACCATATAGAATGAACTCTGTATAATATACACAATATAGACTTAACCCCATACAATAGATCCCATATAAACAGGATCCTGTGTAACAGACACCATATAGACTAGATCCTGTATAATAGACACCATATAGACAGGATCCTGTATAACAGACACCATATAGACTAGATCCTGTATAATAGACACCATATAGACAGGATCCTGTATAACAGACACCATATAGACTAGATCCTGTATAAAAGACACCATATAGACTGGACCCTTTATAAGAGACACCATATAGACTGGATCCTGTATAAACAGGACCCTGTAAAATAGATACCATATAGACTGAACTCTGTATAATATACACAATATAGACTTGACCCCATACAATAGATCCCATATAAACAGGACCCTGTATAAAAGACACCATATAGACTGGATCCTGTATAATAGACACCATATAGACTGGATCATGTATAATAGACACCATATAGACTAGATCCTGTATAAAAGACACCATATAGACTGGATCCTGTATAATAGACACCATATAGACAGGATCCTGTATAACAGACACCATATAGACTAGATCCTGTATAATAGACACCGTATAGACTGATTCCTGTATAAAAGACACTATATAGACTGGACCCTGTATAATGAACACTATATAGACTGGACCCTGTATAATAGACACCATATAGACTGGATTCTGTATAATGAACACTATATAGACTGGACCCTGTATAATAGACACCATATAGACTGGACCCTGCATAATAGACACCATATAGTATAGACTGAATCCTGTGTAATAGATTCCATATGGACTTGACTCTGTTTAATAGATTCCATATCGACTGGACCCTGTATAATGGACACTATAAAGACTGGACCCTGTATAATAGACACCATAAAGACTGGACTCTGTATAATCGACACCATATAGACTGGATACTGTATAATAGATTCCATATAGACTGGATCCTTTATAATAGACACCATATAGACTGGACCTTGTACATGTATAATAGAAAAGATTTAGACTGGACTCTGTATAAAAGACACCAAATAGACTCTGTAAAATAGATACCATACAGACTGGACCCTGTATAATAGACACCATAAAGACTGGATCCTGTATATAATAGATCCCATATAAATAGGACCCTGTATAACAGACACCATATAGACTGGATCCTGTATAAAAGACACCATATAGACTGGATCCTGTATATTAAGACACAATATCAACTAGAACCTGTTTAATAGACACCATATAGACTGGATTCTGTATAATAGATTCCATATAGACTGGACCCTTTATAATAGACACCATATAGACTGGATCCTTTATAATAGACACCATATAGACTGGACCCTTTATAATAGACACCATATAGACTGGACCCTGTATAATAGACACCATATAGACTGGACTCTGTGTAATAGACACCATATAGTATAGACTGAATCCTGTGTAATAGATTCCATATGGACTTGACTCTGTTTAATAGATTCCATATGGACTTGAACCTGTTTAATAGATTCCATATCGACTGGACCCTGTATAATGGACACTATATAGACTGGACCCTGTATAATAGACACCATATAGACTGGACCCTGTATAATAGACACCATATAGACTGGACCCTGTATAATAGACACCATATAGACTGGACTCTGTGTAATAGACACCATATAGTATAGACTGAATCCTGTGTAATAGATTCCATATGGACTTGACTCTGTTTAATAGATTCCATATGGACTTGAACCTGTTTAATAGATTCCATATCGACTGGACCCTGTATAATGGACACTATATAGACTGGACCCTGTATAATAGACACCATATAGACTGGACCCTGTATAATAGACACCATATAGACTGGACCCTGTATAATAGACACCATATAGACTGGACTCTGTGTAATAGACACCATATAGTATAGACTGAATCCTGTGTAATAGATTCCATATGGACTTGACTCTGTTTAATAGATTCCATATGGACTTGAACCTGTTTAATAGATTCCATATCGACTGGACCCTGTATAATGGACACTATATAGACTGGACCCTGTATAATAGACACCATATAGACTGGACTCTGTATAATAGACACCATATAGTATAGACTGAATCCTGTGTAATAGATTCCATATGGACTTGAACCTGTTTAATAGACACCATATAGACTGGACCCTGTATAAAAGACACCATATAGAATGGACCCTTTATATTAGACTCCATTTAGACAGGATCCTGTATAATAGACACCATATTATAGACGGGACCATGTATAAAGTCTATATAGACTCGCTGCATTGTGTATAAAAGACTCCATAAATACTGGACCCTGTATAGAATGGCCATTCATTTTTGGTTGCAATTATATTGAGTTTAAGACAAATTATATATGTACTACAGATCAAGATTGACAACTGTTTTAGGAAACTGTTATTGATGGCTTATCATGAGATAAGATTGAAGAATGTTCAAGTATTTATGCATATATATATATGTACATGTTTATGTATATGACAAAAAAAAGGCAAAAACATAACATTGTTCCACATTTTTATACAATGAACATCATTCCAAACCACAAACAATTCAATGATTCGCACTCGTCATCAGTAAGCTGACAAACTCAATATATGGCTAAAATTTCTTATGTTTCCTTTTAGAACTCATTTTTTGCATAGCATTTTTTGATTTTAGAGAGAGTTTTTTTGCTTTGGCCCAGTACTCATATGATCCATATTCAAGCTGTTCAAGGTCAGGTGCCTTCCTGTCAATGCGTAACTCCCACAACCAGTCGGGGTATTCTTCTTCAGGTTTCAGCTCGATTTCCTCGCCCGTTTTGTAAATGTTGCCACCACATAAGTAGTTGACAAGTTTGTGTGGGTCTTTTTCCACCTCGAAGCCCAGTTTAACCTTAATTGCAGGAACAGGAGCTGTCAAGGAAACAACACACATTTTTTATTTGTATATATAGACATGTATCAAGTTATAATTTCATGCATTGAAATAAACCTGCACATATCTATTGTACTTTTTTTTATAGTGTAATAGGAGTAAACAGGAAATCCCTGAGGGATCTAGGCGCTCACCATAGTACCATCTTCATTAGTTCTATGTCAGTTGATCTTTTCTCTTCTTTTCTCTTATCTGTTCAATCAGTTTGCCTAGCTATCTGCCATCTTACTAGTAATCAATCATTTGATCAACCTCAAAAGTAAACATGCTCAACTCAGGACCAAGGGGAACCTACATTTGAAATTTGACAAACATTCCTCAAGTAAATTCTGAGAAATAGCGATAACAAACTTAACCTGTAACAAGAAGGCTGGCTGATATGATTTGATATATGCATAACCAAGAAAAAGAGGAACCTTCATGTGAAATTTGAGAAAGATCCCTCCAATAATGTTTGGGCAATAAAGAGCTAAAAAACTTTTACTCCTAAATTCAATAGACCACCTGCCGGCCATCTTGGTTTTCCAATCATCCCCAAAATTCAAAATGCAGAACAAGGGACCATTGGGAACCTTCATGTGAAATTTGAGAAAGAACCCTCCTGAACATTCTGAGAAATAACACTAACAAACTTTCATTCTCAAATTCAAGATGGCTGCCTGTTGGCCATTTTGTTTTTGATCAGTCCCAAAAAATGATATGTATAACTAAGGATCATGGGGAACCTTCATGAGAATTTGAGAAAGATCCTTCCAATAAGTTCTGGGAAATAGCACCAACAAACTTTCATTCTCAAATTCAAGAGGGCTGCTTGTCGGCCATCTTAGTTTTGTGATCACTCTCAGAAAAAAACCATGCATAACTAGGGACCATAAGGAACCTATTTGTGTAATTGGAACAGTCCATTCTGCTGAAATACAACATATTCCTTCTCAAGTCATCGGTGACCAGGTACAACGTAGCTCTCAATTGGTTAGAGCGTTCATCTGGAGTTTGGAGGGTCCCAGCTGAACTGAGCGTGCCTTAATTTTCTGCTCTTATCACATATATGTTGGCATACCACTACACTCAAGAAGATTACGGTACCATAATGTTTGCTCTGGCCTCCAGCAAGTTTCCAAACTATTTAAACTGGTTGGAATTGTCAAAAAGAGTCCCATTAACATAACAAAATTATCTTGCAACATCATTCCTAAGTCCAGGGTGCGAATCCTAGTCTAGCTTTGCATTATCTTTTTAGTCGAAAAAAACAGTATCCAAATTGCATATGGACATTAATTCATTTCTTTGCAGTGATAGGGGAATCTATAAGTCAATTAAGACCTGTAAAATCATACATCAGCAAGTCCCTTACTGCTATAACAATAAACAGAGTAGTAAATAAGTGGTACTCTTTATCAAAATCAACAGTGATATATAGTAAGCTCTGTATTAACATGTTCCAGAGCAACTTAAACTCAGACGGAAGGATAAGGGTAACAAGTTTTCTAATATAAACATGTTAGTACACATGTTCCAAGTCAGCTAGACACAATAGCTGCATGCATGCACAGTGAAAAACTGTTTTGAATGTATATGATGAGGACTGATTTAATATGAATAGGGCCAACACAAGCATTAAGCTGTCTACGTATACCCAGCTAACAGGATCAAGTTAAATCAAGGGGGTTGACTCGGACCTCTTTCGCGTTTCCAGTTCAACCGGTCAATGTTTGCCTGGTTCAATCACAAGAGCCTGAAATTCTGTCAAAATAATAATAAGGGTAATACAAATAAATACCCATAATAAGATCTTTTTTGTGTGTGCATATTATAGGTATTTTTTTGTTTATTACCGATACATTTGTAAGTCAGTACCCTTATTAAGTTATTATTAATTTTTGACAGAATTTCAGGCTCCTGTGGTTCAATGTAACATTTCGGGCATAACATATGCAGGCCTTGTAAGGTTTTGTCAAGGCTCGCCTGAACGCAGCATCACTCGCATCAGATTACTAGATCCGACCTTATTTCATAAACGAACAACTCATTCTCCGGTCCAACCGTTTGGATCGCGATTCTGGCCAGTGTGGCCTCAGTGTGGACATTGCAAGGACACTAGTTATATAATATAATTGAAAGCCTAAACAGGTCATCTTGCTGCTGATTTTCGGTCTGTACAAGCATTACAGGAGAAACATTATGTGTAACTAACCTTTTGCATATGCAGCTGTGATCATATATCCATTCTGCCAGCATCTTAAAGGACAAATTGCTATTTTTCGAAGACATGTACACAGCGCGGTCGCCATGATGCGCTACTCAATTTCTTACCCTAGATGGTATAGTACCGCTTACTCATTACATTCTTCACCTAGTCACGCACATACTTCACTTTATACATATTATTAGTATCCTTATGATTACTTTTGACTTCATAGTTTAACTGTCAAAAATAAATTCGACATACAGAGATAACCACTCTTATGTAAAAATGAAATAGGTGGTCATAATTTTAGGCGACACCTATCAGTACAAAGATGGCTGCGCCCATCGAAGCTTTATACCAGCATGCTGATTGAGCGGTGAGTAGAATACGACATGTTATATATTTACGATTCAATGTGAAAGTAGAGCAGAACATGTTTTCGTTTTAAACTTCCATGAGCATAACTATGATAACGCATGTAAATAATAATATAACTAGATTTGATCAAGATCAAAACACGGGATTTCCAACAGAAAGAGGACATAGAAATGATCTCGGACTGACGATCGCTTTTATACGTTTCCCTTTGCTTCGAATTCCCTTCTCTGACAAACTTTGCACATGCACCTTATTCATACCATAGGGTTTTGTGATATCAGTTCTGTTATTTGGACACAGCGGCACCAAACCCCATGCCAGTACACACAGTCAGGTGATTGACAGCTGTTATTTGGACCCACTACCTAGATAGCCAAATGATGCACATGTAGAGTAACTCTGTGTATAGACTGACGGGTCACCAAAAAAAGCCTGGTTAGCTTCACCAATTTATAAAATATAAACAGAACACTTTTACGTATTAAAACAGAAGCTATGAAAATACATCAGTAATTTTATGAATTATCTTGATGAATGTCTTTGGATATTGTTGCGTAAAAATAGGTGGTCACAATTTTAGGCGACAACATACAGTGAGTAAATTGTTCCTGAACATATTGAAGTCTGATTATCATGCCTAGTAAGTTTGGAAGATTTACCTTGTTTGTGGATAAGGTCAGATCTTATCAGATTACACATGTGTAATACCATATTTATGACATGACTGTATGGCATAAAGTAAAATGGGTCAGTTTTATGATAAATATGAATATGATAGTACCTTTTTGCCAACGCTTTAAGCATGCTAGTGATAGCATTTCCGAAATAACTCATGCATTCATTGCAATCTTTATTGTGCAGGTACTTAAAGTAAATGTTTTAAAAATAAAAAAAAAATTGTTGTGAATTTACAGATGTAGATCTTTTGTCATTTGAAATATACCTTTTTCATAATAAATCTTGGTGAGAGTGGGTTGACAAGATACCAAATATGTCAATGATTGAATTAATAAACATGTGATTTGCTTATCTATTGGATCGCTATCTTTATAATGTCATTGACTGTCGTTGCATGTAAACAATACTTATTACCAAAGTATATACAGTAAACATTAACTGCACTCAGTTCAAAGAGTCGATCATAATGGATTTCAAGTTCAAATAGGAATTTTTTGGCACGTATGCTCAAGTATTATATTGTTCGGACGTTAATTGATATGCAGTTCCATTAAATTACATATTTGGCTTGAGGATATTATTTCGAACCATACATTTCTTGTTCGCTTACAATTCTCTCACAATAGGACAGAATATGGATTGTCGTATATGGGTGCTTACGACACACACCTAACACAAATCTTTTATTTTAAGGATCTCCGACCCACTGCATGAAATAAGGAATTCCATTGCTGTTTAGTGTACATGAAGTAACCCCTTTACAATTGTATTTTCTCTTACCTATAACAGAGTTATCCCACGTCATAACCCATGCTAGATTGTTCTATCACGTCCAATCTGTCTGATACCTTTACGTGATATTTCTTACACTACGATGTATTCATCTGCGCGGTAACGGCTTGAACTTGTCATTCTGCATGATAAATGTTCTGTTTTGTCGTTATATGTATTATTTTGAAGTTGTTGGCTATTTGGTGTTGTAGATAAAGTATATTCTACACTGTAAAATATGTTGTCTTCTTTGTGAGGACAGACTAGCTTATTGTCTTTTGCAAAATTTAATAGATTTTTTTCTAACTAAAAGGTGCGCAAAAAAAAGAGACCTGTAACTGAGCAAGATCGGGTTATCGCAGTCTCAGGCTAAGAATATGTAACATTCTAACCTCGGCTTGCGTCTCGGTTGGGATTATGGTACAGAGTCTAAGCCCTCGACTGCGATTACTCGATCTCGCTCAGTAACAAGTAAAATGTTTTATTAATCTCTTTTTAGATATAATTGTAACAAGAGAGGGCTAAGGTGTAAGAGGTAGCCGATCTTCTTAGTTTGATAGGATGTCAGGGGTTATGGCGATTGATGATAGGAAGTAGTTCAGGGGTCATAGTGACTGGTGCTTGGAGGTCAGCAGTTATAGCGACTGATCATAGGAAGTAGTTCAGGGGTCATAGTGACTGGTGCTTGGAGGTCAGCGGTTATAGCGACTGATCATAGGAAGTAGTTCAGGGGTCATAGTGTCTGGTGCTTGGAGGTCAGCGGTTATAGCGACTGATGATAGGAAGTAGTTCAGGGGTCATAGTGTCTGGTGCTTGGAGGTCAGCGGTTATAGCGACTGATGATAGGAAGTAGTTCAGGGGTCATAGTGACTGGTGCTTGGAGGTCAGCGGTTATAGCGACTGATGATAGGAAGTAGTTCAGGGGTCATAGTGACTGGTGCTTGGAGGTCAGCGGTTATAGCGACTGATGATAGGAAGTAGTTCAGGGGTCATAGTGACTGGTGCTTGGAGGTCAGCGGTTATAGCGACTGATGATAGGAAGTAGTTCAGGGGTCATAGTGACTGGTGCTTGGAGGTCAGCGGTTATAGCGACTGATGATAGGAAGTAGTTCAGGGGTCATAGTGACTGGTGCTTGGAGGTCAGCGGTTATAGCGACTGATGATAGGAAGTAGTTCAGGGGTCATAGTGACTGGTGCTTGGAGGTCAGCGGTTATAGCGACTGATGATAGGAAGTAGTTCAGGGGTCATAGTGACTGGTGCTTGGAGGTCAGCGGTTATAGCGACTGATGATAGGAAGTAGTTCAGGGGTCATAGTGACTGGTGCTTGGAGGTCAGCGGTTATAGCGACTGATGATAGGAAGTAGTTCAGGGGTCATAGTGACTGGTGCTTGGAGGTCAGCGGTTATAGCGACTGATGATAGGAAGTAGTTCAGGGGTCATAGTGACTGGTGCTTGGAGGTCAGCGGTTATAGCGACTGATGATAGGAAGTAGTTCAGGGGTCATAGTGACTGGTGCTTGGAGGTCAGCGGTTATAGCGACTGATGATAGGAAGTAGTTCAGGGGACATAGTGACTGATGCTTGGAGGTCAGCGGGCTTTGAATTTGACGTATTCTCTGATAACATGTCATGGAAAAAAGTTAGCCGCGACCAAGATCTACCAGAAGTATGAAGCGTTCAAGCAGTACAACGAAAGCTTTGGAAGTTATGGTCATTCGAAAAAAGTTGTTATACCGGTAGATCTGTGACCTTGACATTTGACATTATAATCATGAATTTGTTTGCATACCATGTGTTCGTTGTTCTCTAATACATAGTGAAATTTAAACATTATTTCTTTATTTGTTCTTGCGATAGAATGTCCACAAGATATTTTGAAATCAGAATAAGAAATTTAAAGAAAAAACATAACAATATCAATAGGTATTTCCATCCGAAATGAAAATCCCTAATAATAGACTGTATCACGTGTATACACACGTGTATAACGTGAGTTAACTGTACAGGGGAGATAACTTGTTAGGTTACAGTACAGTGTAAATATATTTATATATGTATTTGGTAGTGGAGATTATGGGGGTATATATTCTGAGGTATCGCAGATAAAAGTTGGTCCTTTATTTTGAAAAATAGAATATTTTTTTATAATTTTCTCCAATTATAGTTTTATGCAGTTTAAATCAATTTTAAATACACATGTTTCACATCATAATCAGTCATGTTTTTTGTAACTAGAACTATATTTGTATGGGGGTACGCAAACATTAGTGTAATTCAACAATGCATCAACAGACAGGTTTAGAGTATAACCCTTTGTTTTACAGTGAATCCTGATGTATGTATTTTTCAAGGCTTGACTGTTGTGCTGCCCAAGTGAGTCTATGTTATTCTTGTTTTCTTTTATTGCACAGCATAATGAAGCACTCAATATCTTACGCATTTTCATGTTAAATTTATGTTTCATTTGTCCTTGGGAAACATAATTAATCTTTGTGGAACAAAGAATCATGTTATCCTACAAAAAAGGCAATACATGTATAATATTCCTCCCATCCAAGATTGTGTAAAAGATTCTGAATTAAATTCCAAAGTCTGGATCACAAAGTGAAACAATATTTGGTTGCAGCAATGTTCCCAGTCAATGCCTGTTTCGACCTGAGGACCCTTATTTCAATGTTGCTCATAATAAAGATATATTTTTATCATTTCTTAATGAAAGACTTCACTTTGTAACAAACTTGAATATTTCAAATGTATCCTAACATTATCACAAAATAAATCCCTTTCTAGCTTATAACATAGTGCTGTCTCATAAGTATTTACGATTCATTAAATTCTTGCAGTGTCATGAAAATTCTTATGATGCTTGATTTATGATGATTTTCTTTCCCTTAAGGAGTGGATGTTGGTGAATTAGGCAGTTATGACGGTGAAAACGAGCAATGCCGTTGTGATGAGGGGTGATGCTCCTCCGCCAACAGGAAGTCCACAGACCTGTAGGATGAGTTTGGCCCTGATGACAGAGTTGGGGGCAAACTTGGTCTCCCTTGTCCAGATCACAGACAACTTCCAACAGGCCATTTGTCGATTGAGAGTGGCTGACAGTATATTTGGCAATTATATTGAATATCATCCTACCGTGTTCCGCAGCTGGCCAGAATCAAAAGAAATATCAGACAGTAAGAAAACGTTATTACCAGTGAAATGTAAGGAATGTTCTTCCTCAGGAGATGACCTGAATAAAGAAAACTGGAGGCAACCTCAAACTTGTGATAACAATTTAACATCTACTTCTCAAAGTTGTTGTAATTTTGAACTGCTCAATACAACCTTAGCAGATTATGTAGAAGTTTGTGTTGTGACTAGTATAGAGCATGTAAAAAAAATGAAAAATAAATTAAAAACTAACTCCAAATATTTAGAAGATATCTGTAATAATTTATTGTGTAATTTTGGCATTAAGGAAAATTTCACAGTTGATTTTCAAGTTTCCTTATTAGCAAAGCTATACAATATTTCTCATCTAATAATCAAACACTGTGAAGGAGGGGAGTGTGAACAGGATACAAATGCTTTCATGGTAGGAACACAAACAGTAATCCGTGTGACTGATATACAGAGTACAGAACGATACACAAGTGGATTGTCCTCTACGGCAAGCCCTCTCGGAGGCCTGGAGGAAATTGCTCGGGAGCTTATAGAAACAGTTAAAATCCCTGTAACTTTGGCGGGGTGTTTGGGTAAAGCTGCAGTGAGACCTGTTAGTGGGGTGCTGCTAAGGGGACCCCCTGGCACCGGCAAGACCTCACTAGTCAGGTATGTGGCAAGCCAGACAGGGGCTCACCTGGTCACCATTAACGGCCCAGAAGTGTTTGGTTCCCGCCCAGGCCAGACAGAGGAAGTGCTACAAAAGATATTTGAAAGGGCAGTTTTGTTTTCTGAAGAAGGGCTTTGTATTTTGTTTATTGATGAAATAGATTCTTTGTGTCCAAAGACGAGGCCAGGGGAGGCAATGTCAGACCAGAACGCGTCCGGCTTACTGTTTAACTTCCTGGATAGCCTTCATGAAACTCTCTCCCTGGTTGTGATTGGGGCAACTAACAGACCGGCATCTCTCGACTCTGCACTGCGACGACCAGGAAGACTTGACAAGGAGGTATATACAACTTTGTAAAATAATAAATTATTTAACTGTATGGTAAACAATATCTTGACTTGCAAAAGTACTTGTTATTATAAACATCGTCAAAGTTCCACTATAAGATGCCTCTTATTTTGGACTCTTGCATTGCCTTCGTCTCTCAGTCAAATTCAATTCAATTTCAGGAAATTATGATATTACAAGGGTGAACAGATTTCCTAGCTCTTGTATGCTGGGCAATAAATTGTTTATAATACTAATATATAGAAGCAACAAAACCATAATCAAATTAGAGTATCAATACTTTTTGTATGATTATCCATTACAATAAACAAACATGGCAGAAAAACAAACTTTGCATTTTCCCTCCTGTTGCAGACAGTTTATTGAAACACTTCTGATGCAGTATATATTGAGTTATAAGTCAGAAACTTGCCTATTCTCAGCTTGTCTAGGCCATAAATACTAACAATATAAAGCATGAAACAGTCAAAATTGTGTATCATTAGACCTTGTCAGTGTCACACCAGGTCATTGTTTTCTATTTATTTTGGGACCAATGGTCAAGGTCACAGGAAAAGGTCAATGGCTTATAAATTCAATGAGTATTATTTGAAGGTATTTTGTGGATCATGTGAAGATTGTCACATACAATACTGAAAACTCTGGTAATGTTACAGAGTAAAAAGTCATGTGATTCTTATCACTATGTGTATAGCTGTAATGATATGTAGAGGTTGGTGTTATATACATACAGTTTTAAAATTTCTAGTGCCAATTGAAAAAAAAAGAAAAATGAAATTTTACTATAAAAACCTTGGCCCATTTAATTTGTTCAAAACCATATAAACTGAACCAGTTATGAATGCATTTCCGATGTAATATATTTTTATATTAATCAATTATAGTACATTTATATTTGATTCCTTTGTTGCAGATCATGATGAACGTTCCATCCTATCAACAACGAGTATCTATCCTGGAGGTTCTTATTGACAAGCTTTCAGTGGGAAGTGACATCGACATCAACAAGTTGGCTCGAATGACTAACGGTTACGTAGGAGCAGATCTGACATCTCTGTGTCATGAGGCAGTGTACAGTGCTATGTCAGAGGTCAGCAGTGGATCAGATATGGTCAGTACCTCGGCATCATCATTATGTTAACTGGTGTCAAGGCTATCAAAGGTGTATTGAATTTTTAACGGAATATTCTACAAATATTTGTATGCCTATTAAATGAGGGGTGACATATAATGTTTCCCATGATGCCTGTCCTGTCTTGTCCATCCTGACACAATTCAGTGGGATGACTCTACCAACTTTATTTTCATCAAAGTTTATACAAAGGTCAGGTATGAGAAAACCTCAAATGAGGTTGTATTTCGGGGTTCAAAGATCAACACCAAGGTCACTGTTTCTACAAATAGGTCAACCACATGACCAAGGGGCCATTCCTGTTGATTGTTGTATGCCCTCTGCTATCACAGCTATATGTTATCAATGGGGAAAAGCTAATTGTTTAACCGTTTGCTGTGTGCTTTAATCTGATATAGGAGGAGAGAGGTCCCATCCAAATGAAGCATTTCCTGTCTGCTGCCAAGTCCATTACTCCCTCCACACAGAAAGGTTCTGAAGGACTGATAGATGCACCGCCAGTACTCTGGGAGAATATAGGGGGTCTGGAGGCCACCAAGCTCCAGATCAGACAGGTAGGATGTCAATCACCAAGTTATAAATCAAACAGTCTGTGTATTGATCGCAAAACTTTTACATGTTATGAGCAGGCTTTTGGCCACTGAGCAGATTAAGGCATGCATTTATTTTGAAATGATTGTTGTGGACAAAAGATACATGCAAATTTGACTGTTTTTCTAGGAAATATATACCTGGTACATGTATCAGTATGTAACTAACGTGTCAGAGGCCAAACCATGAGGGCATACCTTTGTACTTTATATTTTGTGTATAAATTTTGATGAGTGTCTTATAAGACCCTTTTTTTGGGCCCTGGTATATTCAGATTTTCACCTCCTTACCTGGTAATTTGTTCAAAGATGGCTTGTTGTATCACATGCGCAAAAACTAGGCAAAAGGTTGACCAAAAGTGGGTTTATGTGGTACCAAAAGGGGTAGGGTATATCAGAAATATTATTTGCTGTTTTCAAAATGAGCTAAAACAACCAAATGAGAAAACCCATGTGGTCGGGTGGTGCAGTGGATAGCGCACTTGCCTTTCACCAAGGCGGCCATGGTTCGATTCTCCGATTGGACGTGAAAAGGTTTAGGGTCACCTGCTCGACCACGTGGGTACTCTTGGTACTGGGTTTCCTCCCACACTAAGACCTGCGCACGCCAAGATCCGGGCCAACAAGAGTGATAATATAAGTTGAAATAAAAAGTTTATTTTTTATTAACCAAAATAATACCATTTCTGTTTATGGAAACAGGTGTAAATTAAACAAGCATATATAAAAGAATGAAAAATGACAGAAATTCAATCATCATTTAAAGATTGTTAATATAAAATGGAGGATTAAGTCTGGGTTGTTTTAGGTAATTATTTTCAGATGAAAGGTGCTTTGTTTTCTCAATAATTTCCTTCCATCTTAAAACAAACTAAGGAGGTGAAAATCCAGATATACCAGGGCCCAAAATTGGGCCTTATTGACACTCATCCTTTTTACAGGTGTACCAAATAAATTTGACTGCATGGCATACTAGACTGCTAGTGAATATGTAATGCTCATTGGCCTTTATTACTTACATACATTCAATTATGTAATTGCACATGTTATGGCTTCTGGTATGAATTTTCCAATCCTCATTGGCATTTGTGGTTTATCTGATTTTAAACAATTGATTTTTCCTTTATTTATTTGTTTTTTTATTTATTTTTGTAAAGGCGATTGAGTGGCCGATCCAGCACCCTGAAGCATTCAGCAGAATAGGTCTGCCCTGCCCCAAAGGAGTCCTGCTGTATGGACCCCCAGGGTGCTGTAAAACTACCCTGGTGAGGGCTGCAGCTACGTCCTCAGGGGCCACGTTCCTGTCCCTGAGCGGGGCACAGCTGTACTCCCCCTACGTAGGCGACTCAGAAAGGAAGGTCACTGAGGTCAGTGAGCATGATGCCAAAGCATTGTTATTCATGCTTGTCAACTTTTCAAATGATCTAAACATGTCCAAAATATGAATCATTACATCTCTTTTTGAAAGACCACTTCTCTGGGTTTCAACTAGGTTTTCGATACTCATGTCACATAAAAGGGGAATATGTGTACATCCGGTGCACACTTATAATCTGACAATCAGTCGATGATAATTTCATGACATTTGTGTAATTTCAGCCACTTTTTTTTCCAAATTTACCAAACTTAAGCTGCAATAAATTTGGTTTGTTACTAAATTTACCTTCACGTTAGAAATACACATTATATATATCATATTGCTTGTGTCAGCCAATTTGAGTTTGGATGATAACTTCTGATGGATATTTAAATGAAATTCCATTACTACTACCATTGCATACCAATCTTATAGGTCTCCATCCTTTAGATCAAGGTTGTAAAGAGAACTTGAGGCAGGTAAATGTTTTTTTTTTTTTGTGAAATTTCACAGTTGATGTATCATGTTTGGAACATTTTTGCTTTAGTACATGCTGGTTACTTAATATGTAATTTATCAAATTCATTTTAGTTTTCAGTTCGATTTTTGTTGCTGTGTAAAAGTTTTTATAGCTGTTACCAGCAGCAAAGTGATTTAACAATTTTATAACATTTTTCATAACAATTATGCAACTTAATATATTAATCACTGTTGTTGGCGCAAATCTTAGCATGAGGGGGGG